ATAAATGTTACTGGACAGTAATGGAGGTGCCTGGCCGGGAGGTGGGTGCTGGGATCACAGCTGGGCAGTGTGGGTGGAGAGGAAAAGGTTATAGAGAAGTGAGAGATACGGTGGGAGTGAGGCAGGGCTCGTGATGCCACCTTTGGGATGGATGTGGTCAGCTCTCACTTTGAGCATTTGCTCTTAGCTGTGCATAGAAGGACCAGAGGGGAGATAACCAGGAGCACACGTGCCACTGCTCAAAGTAGATGTGATGCAGGCCTCTGAGTCATCAAGAGCATCTCCACACTCTTGGTTATCTGCCATATTTATAAATGTTTTGCCCTCCGCATCACACTCAGGTCTGGGCAGAGAGTTACCTTCTGTCATGGACAAATATTGACATTCTTCTATAAAAATAAGTTTTTTCTTTCATAAAACCACAAACATATTTACATAAAATGGCAAAAATGGAATGCCTGGCAACCCCTTAGAGAAGAGAGTGGGCAGAGCACAGATGGCAGTGCCTGCCTGGTGGGCCTCCAGAGGAGATGACCCTATGTCTAGGTGGGAAGACTTCCTCCTTCCAGGATCTTGCTAATCCTTTCAACAGTGTGCTAACTCCTTGTCCCTTCCCTCAGCTTATTGGGCAGATTTCATTTTCACACTCTATCATCTAGAGGAACTTTAAGACTCTGGTTCAAGCAGTCCCTTCCCAGCCCCCAAATCCTGGGGCATGCGGAAAAAAGGCCCTTCCTCCTCAGGGCCCTCAGAGTAGCATCATCTAATGAATATAACCCCCATCACAGCTTTGGGTTAATATTGATTATATGTTTTCTTCCTCTAAAAGAAGCTTCCTTAGTCTCCCCCCACCCTGCTAATGTGGTTAAAATCCAAGTCAATAGCTTTGCTATCCCTGGGCTGATTCATGACTGAAGGTGTGTGTATCCCCAGGGCCCTTGTACACGTCGCAGCCATGCAGTACAGGGTAACTGAGCTGATTACAGGCTTCTATACGTAGTTTCAAGACCCAAAGAGAAGGATGCTTATGGTATAACCCTGAATTTAGGTCTTGAACCAGAACAAGGACAAGTTTCTAACTTGTTCCCTCTCATTCAGCAGATCCTACTCACAGCTCAGCGTCTCCTTCTCAAGGGGTCTGGCCAAGGCTCATTCTGAGTGAGAGAATTGGGTGGGGGCAGGAGGGTGGGAGGGGGGTGAAGACAGGGGCAGGGAAAGGTCCCCCAAGGCTGCTGAGCTCAGAGAGGAAAAAGGGTGGGTGAGCTGGTCCTTACGGCTACACAAAGCAGCATGGGTCCTCGGATGATCCACCAGATTTTCTTATTCCCGTTGGTTCCCCAGCACCTACAACAAAGAGCAGGCAGTAGAAGACTTAGAATTGAGATAAGGTCAGATATAAAAGCATCCTCCCATCTAGAAGAAGGATGCTCACACTCAAGACTGCCCTTCCACCCATCGTGCTCCTGAGAAGTGGGAGAGGAAGGAGAGGATGCAAATCCCTTCCCATTTGTATGGTACTCCTGACTTCTTACAATTAAAGTGCTCTTTAGTGCTAATAGCTTGGTGTGTTTCCTTACACGCTTTTCTTCATGTTCATACAAATATAAATTCTTAATTATATAGGGGACTCTGTGGTGGTGATTATTTGGAGGACAGAAATGAGATCACATAATATACGTTACTCAGCAACAGGCTTAACAACATATTGCTGAAATTCAGTCTCTAGAAACCAAAAGCTATACAACTAACTCATTTTCTCAGTAGTCTCATAATATTCCACAATATAAGTATGCTGCAAATTGTTCATTGATTCCGTATTGATGGCTCTTCACAGTTTTTTGTTTTATTTTATAAACTGAGATACAATTGACATATATCATTATATTCATACAGGTACAACATAATGATTCAATATATAAATATGTTGTGAAATGATCATCACAATAAGTTTAGTTAACATCCATCATCTCACCATACACGGTTACAATTTGTTTTTCTTGTGATGAGAAATTTTAAGACTCGCCTTCTTAGCAACTTTCAAATATACAATATAGTTATTATTAACTTATAGTCACCATGCTGTACATAACATCTCCAGGACTTATTTATTTATAACTGTAAGTTTGTACCTTTTGACCACTTTCACCCATTTCATTTTGCTTTTTCTCCCCCTCAATGTGAATGATGATGCAATAACCATTCTTGTACCTATATCCTTACATATGTGTGCAGCAAATTTTTATGCTAATTGGTG